ACCCCCTGCACGTACGTGTGGCAGCAGGCACGGTAGTAGTAGGTAATTCTGTGCGTTAACCTTCCTAGTACTAACCTTCCTACAATTGTATTATAGTACTGGAAGCAAGCCCAAATGGGGACACTTTGGGGACACAGCACTCAAATGCCTGTTTACCGCACCGTGGTCGTCACTCTGCTCCGCTGCGTGAAATGCGCGTGGGAAACCTTGATCTAGCATGGTTGGTTGTGTCACGCTGTGTGATGATATACTGCTGTGTGATGCCTGTGTGCCTCTCGTGTGCCTCTGACTTGCTGTACACAATGTCCCAAGCCGCGTGTCCCCTTGATGGTAAAAACTGTACATAGCCTAGTACTGGGAAAATTGCTGACTTGGCTTACTATAGAAAGAGTCCTCAGTGCATTTGGGGACACTTTCGATGCCGAAGCCAAGTCAGCAAGTCAGCCTTCGGCCTTCGGGACTGCTGTACAGCCTCTCCAATGAGCGGACGCCATTTTGTCTGGACCCATCACCTGTAACTAACTGGGTGCTAGGAGGGTTAACACACCCCTTCGGTCCCTGCGAGTCTGCGTCAGTGGTACCACACCCCCCCCCTGAATATCACCCCCCCCGGTTATCACACACCCCTTTGTTATCACACCGTTTTTCGGCCCCTACAAGTGTGTGGCAGGGGTGTCACACCCCCTAATTACCACCCCCCCTTCACGGCCCCAACGGCCGCACTTTATCACCGGGGCTACATAAGATATCACACCCCCCACAGAATACAACACCCGGGGATAGTTTTTTACACGCCAAAATGTTTTCCCCCGGGTGGGTGGGATTTCTTGTGTCGTATACGGTGGGGCGATAGACAAGGTGCACCATCCCACAGCAGCTAGCTGTAGAAACGTATCAGCACACATAAGTAAGCATCAGTAGGCGGTGCCAGTGGTTCAGGCCTTATCCTCAGGCTTGCCCTTCACTTTTGTTTGGACTGTGTCGCTACACACAACCGGCCACTGACTCGCACATACTCTGGCCGGAAATATAAGCACGGTTCAGCATTCCCCTTGAAGACCTGATAAACACAAGGCCATGAGTTCGATTCTCGCTCAGAACACCTTTTTTCCCCCAAAAAATATACTCCCTCTGGCTGGCCGGAAATATACCGTATATGACACAAGATAACACACCCCCTGGACCGATTTCCAAAGCTCGATTACTCCACGACGAAGAGGATGCACAAACAAAACGATACATTTTCGAAAATTTCTCGACGAGACGATTCCAACGCTGCCGTTTTCGGCGCCGTGACTCTTCCTGCTGTTAAGAAATCGAGCTTTGAAAATCGGCCAAGGGGGTGTGTTATCTTGTGTCATATACGGTAGTACCACTCCTACAGCACGGTGTCGGAAATCCGGAATATAAGCACGGTTTGTTATTTTTGAGGCGCATGGAAATTGATTGCTTGCATCATTTTGTTTCTATCATGCTTGGATAGGATAGGCGGTCAAGGATAAAAAGGGACGCATAGGGGATGATAAGGTTTCATACCCCCCCGTGAGAAAATTAGCTTCAATACTGGACTCCCGAGAACATAGTCAGCTACAGGAAGCAAAGAGGGGTGTCGTTTTTTCTCTCGTACGCGCAAAAAAAAAAAAAAACATTCTTTTTTTTCTTGAGTATTTCTGGCTACTTGAGCTGCATGTACCACCACATTTTGAAGTGTTTAGCAGTTCTTTGGTGTTGAACGGGTCCAAAGCTTCTGGGGGGCAAAAATGAGCAAGTTGGGCGGGCAAAGACAAAGGGAAGAAATATATTCCAAATATATATTATTGTATTGGGAAGCAATCTCCACAGCAGCCAGCGCAAAAAGTTGACATGCTCACAGAATCATTTCAACACGCTGTTTCCAGGTATTTCCAGCTATTTCCCAGCAGCAGAAGTGGGCGATGCGTGTGGGTGCCGTACGGCTAGTGTGCCGCATGCGGTCCCGTCAGGGGTAACGCCAGCACGAGTTCAGCTCATCATCGTGGGGTGTGCAAAAGGGGCGCAGTCCAACTCGGGTACTTCGATTCAGCAAAAACCAATTCAATTTGCAATTGTTTTTTACTGCACCGAATATCGAAGTCACGCTTTTCCGGGCAGAGAAAGCCTCATCGTGTTTTTTTCCTGTTGACCAACCAGCGTCTTTGGCCCCCGGCACCCCCCCCAGACTTAGTTTTGCAGGGCCTCTATTTAGACTAGGTGGCATTTTTTTAACGTTAAAACAGGCCCTGATCGAAAGTCTCCACCACTACAACCACGATGGCTTTTCGGTGCTTCTTTATTGGTCGCTGTGTGCGTCAGGGAGTGCGGATCGATTGATGTGGGTGAACCGCTGTGTGTTGATGCGTGGACACACAGCTCTACGCAATATAACACCGACAAGAAGGTATCAGGTATGCCAAGGGTCTACGTGAAAAAAACTCCGGACACATAGGCCACTCCCTTTCCCCCCCCCGGGAGGGCAATTTCGACTTCTGTTTTATAGTTATATATAGTATTTAGTATAGGGGGCTGGCTTCGTTCACGAACATAAGTCATTGACCCCCCAACTGCAGATGTTTTTCTATTCACGGTGCCCCTTACGCAACTATATAGTAGAAATTAGAGTCGCCCTCTCCCGAAATTAGGGGAAACCGACCTACTGCTTCTTCCTGGACGTGCAAGTGCACCCCCCTCCCCAAAAACATCACGGGAAGCCGACCTACTGCTTCTTCCTGGACGTGCAAAAGACATACGATACAGTTTGGAGAAATGGGCTGTGGAAACATTTGTCCGAGTACGGGATCAAGGGGAAAATGTAGAGAGTGCTCAAGAAGATGACAGAGTGAACAAAAAGCGCGGTCATGTTAGACGGAGAACAGTCTAAATTATTCAACACTGAACAGGGGGTCCCACAAGGTTGCACTCCGTCCCCAACATTGTTCCAGGTGTTCATCAACGATCTGTTGAAAGTCGTAGAAGCAGTCGAGAAGGGAGTAGAGGTAGGGGAAAGCACGGTGTCGGGAATGCTATTTGCGGATGACTTTGTTGGGGTGTCTGAAACCCCTGAGGGACTGCAAATGCAAATTGATGCGGCGTTTGCTGAAAAGTGGAGATTGTCTGCCAACGTTAAGAACAGTGCCGTCATGGTATGCAACGAGGACAGGGAGGAACCTGTTGGCCATAGGTGGAAGTGGGGGGTCGAGGAGCTTGCAGTAGTGGACCAGTGCATATACCTCGGAGTAGAGATCGCGAAAGACTGCTCATGGACTGCGCACATGTCCAAGGTAGCGGAAAAGGGCAAAACACGAGCAGGGAAGCTGAACCAAGTACTCGCAAACCGGCACCTCGATACACGCTTCAAATTGAAGGTTTTGAAGAGCACAATCGTCCCGCCGCTAGAGTACGCCGGCGAAGTATGGGTGGGAAATAAGAAGGTAAACAACGAGCTCGAGGCGGCGCAGATGAAAGTAGCGAAAAGTCATCCTATAATAGGATGCTCCAAGCGCACAACTGATGCAGCCGTCAGGCATAACTGGGGATCCAATCCCTACGATCGGGAAGAGACGCAAGGAAGCTGACATGGCAGTATCGCATGCGCGACATGGGAGAGGAGAGGTTGCCGAGAATAGCCTAGGAGGCGACGTGGGAAAACAAGAAGAGGGGTAGAAAACCCACGGAGTGGGTCAAGGTTGTAGGTGACGTATGGAAAGGGTTAGAATTGACGAAGTCGATACGCTGGATACGGAGGGTCTAAACGGGTTCAAGGAGAAGATATCTGCTGCTTTTGCCGAGAGAGAAGAACAGAATCTAAGAAAAGAAACCAAGGATATGGAGCGTATAGAAGTGTACGGCATATTGAAAGAAGGAATAGGGTTCAAGGAGTACCTTCATGGACCAATGGATGCTGGGACAAAGCTGAAGGTCAAATTCAGGACTGGGGACATTGGCCTTCGAGAGCGTAGCCGAAGACTTTGGAAGGTAGACGATGAAGACGCAAAGTTCAAATGTGATTGCGGCTTCGAGTGCGAAGACCGTGTTGATGTAATCGCGGAATGCCGGCTGTACAAGAAGGAGAAGGAAGTGTACATGACTGAGCTGGGAAAAGTAGGAGAAAAGTACAGGGAGATGTTTGAGGCATGGGATAGCCAGGAGAAGACATTAGCTGTACTGGGGCATAGAAAGTGGTTTGAAAAGGCGGGAAGTGATATCGGTAGAAATTATATCGGTAGGATAGATAGACTAGGGAGACATTTTTGAGCCACCTTTGGCAAAGTAGGAAGGAACGATTGACCATCGGTGATCGGTCCTGCGGGAACAATGCTCCGTCCTCTCGAGGACGCGTGGTCAGCGGTCTAACTGCTAAGGCATGCAAATAAGAGTACGCCCCCCCCTCCCCGCCACGGACCCCGATTTTCGATTATTTAGTAGGCCTATGTGTCTAGGATGTTTTTCAGGAAGACCCTTGTGTATGCATAGATCCTGCTGTCGAAGTGACCGAGAGCAAGGGTCATCAAGGGGTGAGGATGCATAATGAAGATAAAAGCAGGCAGCAGGAACAACCCACAGCAGCGGTGTGGCGTAAGGTCAACAGGTCATTCACACAGCTGACGGCCGACGACGTGCTATTGTCTCGAACAGCCCAGCGAACCTACGCGAACCAAAAACAACCACACGCCGCTAACCAAGGATCAACACGGAAGCACGGAACAAGCTGCTTTTTCCGTATGCAAACTGCTGTATGTGATCTGTCTTCCTATGGGTGCCACATACAGAATACCCAATATTGTACGCGGACGACATTCACGAACATCATGACATAGGTGTAGGGCTTGTAATCGTTATGACATCAAAAGTTGCACGTCGATGCTTATGAGTCCCGCCGTCCAACGTACTCGTCATGGCAAACAATGCAACACTGCTTGCGTGTGCGTTCTCAGGTTCCTTCCTCTCGACACGCGCAGGCAGCAGGTTTGGCGACTGTGCTGGTGATGTCGGCAGCAATTCCTGAGTTCGACGAGGTGTGGCGTTGGGACGGATGGACAACTCTTGATGAGCATACCAATGATGGTGCGGTCGACTTGGACGGCAATGTCGTGCTCGTGGGGTCACAAGGCTACGCGGCAGCAGAATACACAATCGATGACACTTTCGTAGATGCCTATTCCGGAGATTTCGCCGCCGTCAAGTTGGAGGGCGCGTCAGGCGAAGTGCTGTGGACTTGGACAGCTTCCTCTTTGGGGAGCGAAGCGGATACGTTTCTCGCAGTGGACACCGACAGCAACAACGATATCGTCATGGGAGGTCGGACGGAAGGGTACTGGTCATCGTCCAACCCCGACACGACCCCACATATAGCGGTCGTGAAGCTTGATGGGGGTACGGGGGATGAGATATGGAGGTACCAAGAACACCCTCCGGACTCATACACGTCTTGGGGGAATTCCGTTTACCACGGTTTGGGCAGCGTTAGCGGTGTGGCTGTCGACGGCGATGATAATTGCCTTTTGGTGGGCCAAACCTATGGCAGCCTGGTCTATGGTGAGGGTGACCCTGGAGATTCTGATTTCTTCGTCATCAAGCTAGACGGGACGGACGGCAGCGAGATCTGGACGGTGCAAGGCGGAGAGTCGGCGAGCTTTGATTCATTGCACCACGTAAAGGTGGACTCGGGCGGAGATCTGATCGCCGTCGGCATAGGTGGAGACGAAGACGCAGTGAACGTTGTCGTGGTGAAGTTCAGCGGCACCGACGGCGCCGTTCTCTGGGAATATTCGCCTGTCACGTCGTCCACTCATGATGTTCCCGCGTCGGTCGACGTTGACACCCAGGACGATGTGTATATTGCTGGCGGCTACGATGCCCTGAATCTGCAGGGCACTCTAGCAGAAACTCCGGTGGTGCTGAAGCTAGACGGGGCGACAGGCGATGTCGTGTGGACCTACGAGGGCGTAACCACATCGAGCGCTGGGCTCATTTGTGTTGCCGTGGATCTTACAACGGGGTGGGTTGTGGGTGCTGGCTGGACGGAAGGGACCTGGTTGACGGGGGCAGCTCAAGGCGGCTATGACTTCGCGGCGGTGGTGCTAGATGGGGTCACTGGAGATGAACTAGGGCGCTACCAGGATGGCACCACTGATGACGAATATCTTTCGTTCGTTGGATTTGATTCCGTTGGGGGCTTAATCTTGGGGGGATCCTGGACGGACACCGGCGGAGATGAGTTCGTGGCGATCAAGTTCGCCCCCTGGAACTCGAGTTACCCCACAACGGGGACGGAAGCACTTGCCCAGTGGGAGATCGGGGCCATCGCAGGCGCGGGGGCTTTGTTCCTTTTACTCCTGGGACTATGTGAGTGCCGAATGGCAGGCCAGATCGATAAAGGCCTTCTGTACGTGATTTTGTTTTCCGGTCGACGACTCAAGGATGCCAGTTTTTCCGTAAAGTTTTCCTTATCTTCTCCCGTACACTTACGGCAATCTTGCCGTTCGGTCGTGGGCGGGGAGCGTTTGCCAGGGGATTGGAGAGTATATCAGGGGGGCAACATCCCCAAGGGGAAGGCTGAAAAAGGTTATCCTGTACACCTCCCCCCGCATGCATGCTACAGTTTCGATTTTTGCGGTATTTGTTGTCAATACCAGTGGTAAAGAGGCTCTCCAACATTGAAGCGCAAGCTCTTCTGAGATAAAATGACTTTCCACCGCCGGACGTCTTCGATTGCCAAAGCTTTAGCGCTCCCGAAAGCAACCTATTCCCCGCAGATGTACCAGACAGGGGGCGTCTTTGTTGTTGTGGGATCATGATCCTGCGCGGGCTGGGCAGGATTAGCACCGAAAATGTTGACTGTATGCCGCGTTAGTTTCGGGGAAGGATGGATTTCAAGTCGTTAACAGGATTAAATGTGGAAACTGCCTTGGAATCGAGCTGAAGTCGGCATCCCTCTGCTGGCTCCCAGAATTCACAATTATTTCGTAACGAAGACACGCTCCTCGTGATGAGCGAGCGCCGGCTCGTTCAGTTACTTTTCCAGTCATTGTACGGGTTGAGAAGCGGTGATCGTGATGAAAACGTGTGTCAACTTCGGCCTACGTGGCCAATCCCCATGTATCGGCGGCCGAGCCTCATGTCTCATGAGCCCGCTAGAGGTACGTGGAGCACAGACAACACCACATATTTGCTTGTTACGTTGGCGTACCGCGTGAAAGGCCGTTTCGATCACTGCTTTCTTCGACGTATTGTATCCTCACCGCACCGCTCAGGCATTTTCTGCTTCCGACGCAAGAGCTCTCAAGGTCAGCAAGATGCAGCCAAAGGTACGTGCCTCGATGTAGCAAGCATGCGGTAGGACTTGGTGTCGGTTCAGGGATTTCCCGGAGTTGGAGCAGCGTGCTGGTGAAACGGGGCTCGATCATACCCCCCTGTGCGATATCCCCGTTGTGCTTAGATCCTCCGTCATGCTATCACCTTCCTCTCAGCAGGTTCATCGCAAATTTTTCCAGTGGAGAATTTCGTCGGTCCGAGTGTGCAAGGCGAAGTTCTTCAACCTCGACCGTTGGTCATAGGTAGGAACGGCCTGTTACTTTCATGGCAACCGCAAAACAATCTTTAGGCAATCGGTATTGTGTTGTCGTGTGCGCTTGACTTCAGATTGTCATCGTGTGGGAAACCCCTTCATAGTTCTAGCACACGTGTGAGCTCCGGATCGTTATCGGAGCTATGCGCCTGGCATGTGTCGTCATCGATGTCGTGAACTCGGCGTGTTCGGGATCTGCTTGGGCTAAACCGCGTTCATTCACCGGTCGTACCATTTGCAACCTCAAACAGCCAGCACCCCAACCAGGCTGGATAACCTGGCCGCTATCGCATACGTGCACTCACTCTGCTTAAATGAAATCCTTACACTCTGGTCAGATGATTCCTCCCCCCCACCCCCAATCCCTCGATGCGTTGACCGCAGTGAGCGGAATGGGAGAATTTGCACCTCCTGCGCCTCCTGCACCTCCTGCTCCAAAGACACCCCTGCCCCCACCTGCAGAACCCCCTCTCTCGCCACCACCGGACAACAACCCACCACCCCTTCCACCGCCCGAAGGTCAGAGCTGTTAGGTGATCAGGCACGGTTATTCACGGCCCAAGAATTGGGAGATATCTGCCGAAAAGCAGGACAGTGTGCGGCAGGTCCACTGTTGTTGTATCTGCTTGGCTGGATGACATTTTCACCGTGCCTGCCGTGAACCGTCTTGCTGACGACATCGGATTGGGATGTCCACTTGGGATTGTAGATCAAGAACTTGGCACTCCATGGGGATATCCGTTGAGTTGAATGTCGTCTTGCTTGAAACCCCACGCAGTTGCTGCCACTGAGGAGCGTCCACCACCGCCATCCTACGAGGAGATGAATGCCCCGGAGCCTGCCGCAGCCCCGGCTGAAGCACCATGGGAACGGCTAGGTGAGTTTTGCAGTCAAGCCTTCGACGAGCATAGTTTCACGCCACTTGTTGGATTTCTGGTCCCCTTGTTGATGTATCTGCGGCATGGCGAAGCTTGAGGCAGTGTCGATCCGTCTCTGTGTCTCGTTGAATATTCTCCAATTGTTTGATAACCCTGTTTGTCAAACGTCGGGAGCTTCCGCGATCGATCGTGTTTTGGCATGATCGTAAGTATGATGCGTGCTGCGCGGAGGTGAGTATTTGAAACAGAACCGCCTCGCGAACAGGCAAAAGAGGCACGAGGCAAGCAGTGGCACCGCTGCACCAACAGTTGAAGCGTTGATGGTGTCGAGTTGAAATGACAATGCAATGACATTTACCCGCGCTTCTTCACCCTCTGACGTCCAAAACGATGCGTTTCTGCCTCTTCGCCTTTGATATGCCTGTACAGCCAAGCGAGTGGACCGCGTCCCCAGCAAGAAAGCGTTCGAACAAAACTACCGAGACATATCGGTCAGCCGCTACGCACCGTACGCACCGTCTACAACCGATCATTAGTCCAGACTGCATTTCGTGGAGGACTTCTACGTGGATATTCCGTTCGGCACGAGGGTTGTTATGATAGAGTTCAGTACCGGTTGCACTCATGGTGATTTTGAAATCAGGCCCAGCCTGGACTATGTACTCCATTGTATAGCAGTTTAGCCTCGCTTCCATGCTGAGGCTCGATATTGTGATATTTTCTTGTTTTGTTCCAGACCCTTAGCTTGATTGTCTCAGGATGCACTTATGAGCTGGCCTGTAATATACAAGATCCGCGGTTGCCATGCTGAGTTGATGAGGAATAACAACATGCGGTACGGGACAGTCAAAGTGTACGATAGAAGAGACTGAGAGACCACCGAGCCGGGGGTGGGGGGGGCAAGGGGGAAGAAGGGTCGAAGGACCTCGTTGGAGGAGACGACTGTCGTTGCGGAGAGCAGGACGGAGTGAATGCGAGACATGTACCGGACTGAATATGATGGAGGTGGACTGGAATAATAGTCAAAGGTCTCTCTCTCTCGCACTTCTTCGCTATGCCCCCCGCCTGGTCATTCCCCCCGATGTGAGATGTCGTTATCCTAATTATCATTGTGTTGTCTAAATATTTGTTGTCCCGGCGTGGAGTGATCTTAGAACCACCCATACGCGCTTATATTTTTGCGTGTACGTGCGGGGAACGGCTTGGCCGGTGTAACCCCGGCGGTTAACACAACCCCGGCCGTAGGAGAGGGAATCAGACGACAATTATTGTAGTTTTGATTGGTGATCTTTCACTCTTGAATTTGTTGTGTTTTTTTTCGAGCACGAGCGACGGACTCTCTTTCTCTTAATTATGAGAATGCGCGTGACGAGGAGGAGAAGGAGGAGGAGGAAGAGGAAGAGGAAGAGGAAGAGAAGGAGCCTGACAGGTGCTTCTTCTCATATGTCAAGCCTAGCCGTTGCTCGTAGACGCAGGGCGTATCACCGGTAACGTTTTGGCTTGTTTCTCGTCGATGCATGTATGTCAGCGTAGCGGTTTCGTTTTGGTGTTTGTTTTGCCGTTGGAATAACGGTACTTTTATTTTTTGGTGTTTGTTTTCGTAGCGTTTTCGCGCGCATTTTATTTTGGTGATTGCTTTGTTGCATGGCACTTTATTGGTACGATAGCCTAGCCGTTTCTCGCAGACAGGGTTGATGAAAGCAAGGCTGGCATGTTGCGTGTTGCGTTGTAGGCGCAGAGTAGCGGTTGCATGCGCGTAGGTGGGAAAAAAAATGAAAGGTGGTGTTGCGGCGTTGCTCGTGAAGATGTGGCATGTGGAGCAATGTTCCTGTTTTCAGGTTGGTTTGTTGCAGTTGGCCATTTACAAGTCAGCTTTGGGATAATAAACAAAAGTGACATCATAAACATGTTCCTGATGGCTATTCCGGAGGGAAGAAAAACAGCTTTTGTCCGATGGACCGTTTGCGGACGAAAAATGCGCGTACTTTTCACCTTGCGCCTTGCCTTGCCCGTGGCCTTACGCCCGTTGGCGGCAACTACACATGGCCATGCACTAGCCGTTGTTGAAGTAGGTCGGGCACGGTCAAAACCTCGACACATGAAATGGTTGAGAGGATGGGCACGGCCAACCCCCAGCACGTGAAATATTCCTTCGCTTCTCCCGTTGTTCCTAGGTGCGTGGCCCCACGGGGAGTTGCACACCTTGGAAGGCTGTTTTTCGTTGGATCGGGGCGATCTATAGGGGGGTACGTACGTGCCCGTGTCTCAGTTTTAGCTAGGTCTACTACCCTCGACCATTTTGTGTGCGGTGGTGCGTCCTTTCAGTTGCCCTGCCCTTAGACGTGCAGAACCTCATTGCTTGTTGTATCTGTTCGTTTCTGAACATGGACGTCGAAAAATGCAGACAAAATTGATATTCGAACTCGGCACCGTACATCGTCGTATATATTTCCGACCAATATTACTCACGCGATGGGATGAGCAGAAAACACTCGACTCTTTCCCGAACATATCTTCCTACCTCAATCTTTGACCTCTTTGGAGCAAGAGTCGATCTGCCAGAAAAAGCTACAGCAGTACATGTGGCCTCTACCCTTCAGTGGCGAAATGCACCAAAGACCAACAGTACCGCATGGTGCGGTTCCTCGTCAGCAATTCACCACGGTCCTATCGGATCTTGCGTACATTATTACGGGTCAGCTCGTAAGAAACGAAGTCGTGGATCTCATGCTAAAGTTTTGAAACAATACAAGCAAATATCGGGCCTCAGTATCGATTGCAACACTAAATCCTATAAAATGGGCGAAGTTTGACCTTCGCCCCATCAAGAAAGCCAGGCTGAGCCTAGATTTTCAGTTACATATGAGCGGAACCGGTACCGTACTGTATGTCTATTCCAACATTCTTGACCCAGGGGATATCCAGGTAATAGTGCACACAATGTCCGCCACGAAATCAAAACGCAAGTGTAGACTACATACTGATCGGTGGTTGACGGTGCGTGCGGTTCGTAGTGGCTGACCGATTTGTCTCGAAAGTCTCTGTTCGAACGTTTTAATTGGGTTCGCGGGCCACTCGCTTGGCTGTGCAGGAGTTTGAATGCAGAGGGCAAAGAGGCAAAAACGCATCGATCATTTCTGCTGTGAGAAGGTGAAGTGGCGCCAAATAAGCAGCATGGCACGGTGCTTTCAACTCGACATCATTAACGCTTCAACTGTAGGTGTACCGGTGTCATCCGTTGCCTCATGCCTCGCCACTTGTTCGCGAGGTGGTTGTGTTTCAATAATCATCTGACCGCATCCATGCACACAATCATACCCCAAAAAGATCACTGAGCACCCGAGGGAAAACGGGGTGGACAAAAGATGGTCATCATATACCTGAAGATTGCTCAACGGGGCACAGAAACGGATCGCCATGTCCATTACGATTGGGTGGGCGTTCTACACGAAACTTCCTAAAGCCTTTACGATATTACACTGACGCTAGCTCAACTGCAACGGGACCAGCAATCCAACACGTGGTGGGTTCTCGATGTTTGTTTGTGGCGTGACACTCCTTTTACAAGGATTGACTGCAAAACGCACGTAGTCGTTCCCGTGGTGTTTCACTGGGATTCGTTGGGCGCCGGGAAAATCCTTTTCCCGTAGGATGAGGGCGGCGGAAGCTCCTCAGTCTCCGCGGCAGCAAATGCATGATGTTTCAAAAAGGGGTGGCGTCTAACCACTTTGTTTGAAAGTTGGTTCTGGGCAGGGACGATGAAACCACCACACGACTTCGTCGATAGAACAACGGCGGACCTGCCGCGCCCTACCCGGCTTTAGGCATGTTGGCCCCCAAAATGTCGACGGTAGCAAACCGTGCCTGCTCGCCTATCACCTCTGACCTTCAGACGGTGGGCGGGGTAGCGAGTTGTAAGCCGGTGGTGGCAAGCGCGTCTCAGGAGCAGGAGGTGCAGACGGTGCAAACGCTCCCCTTCCGCCCGCTGCGGTCAACGAATCGAGTGGGGATGGTGGGGGGTGATGCTTCTGACGAGAGTGGAAGGCCTTCATTTACGGAAGAATGAATGCACATGTGCGAAGCGGCTAGGCAAGCAGCCTGGTGAGCTACTAGTGCCATGGTGGGTTTCTGCAAATGGTACGACCGTTGGATGAAAGGGTGCTCTAGACAACAACACCCCAAGCAGCTCCCGAGCACGCCGAGTTCACGCTGTCGATGACGACACATGCAATGCGCATAGCTCCGACAACGATCCGGAGCTCACACGTGTGCCTTCTACTGCAAGAATTATGAAGGGGTTTCCCACACGATGGCAATCTGAAGTCAAGCGCGCACGATAAAACAATGCCGATTGCATGAAGTTTGTTTTGCAGCTGCCATGAGAGTAACAGGCTGTTCCTACCTTGGACCAGCGGTCGAGGTTGAAGAACTTCGCCTTGCACACTCGGACCGCCGAAAATTTCCCCTGGATTAAATCGCGATGAACCCGCTGAGGGAAAGTGATCTCATGACAGAGGTTCTAAGCACAATGGGGATATCGCATTGGGGGTATGATCGAGCCCCGTTGCACCAGTTCGCTGCTTCGACTCCGGGAAATCCCTGAACCGACACCAAGTCCTACCGAATGCTTGTAACATTGACGCACTGACCTGTGCCTGTCCCTTGCTGATCTCGAGAGCGCTTGCGTCGGAATCAGAAAAGGCCTGAGGTTCGGTGAGGATGCAAAATGTTGAACAAAGCTGTGATCGAAACGGCCTTTCCACGCGGTACGCTAAGTTAACAAGAATAGGCGGTATCGTCTTTGCTCCACTAACCACACCCGATAGCTTCCGCAACGACCAGCACCAGGCGTTCTTAGGAGCGGGCTCGTGAGCCATGAGGCTCGGCCGATACACGTGGATCGGCCACGTAAGCATAAGTTGACTCAAGCTATTATCACGATCACCGTTTCTCAACCGGTACGACGACGAAGGCAATCCGATTAAACCAGTCGGCGCTCGCTGACGCGAGGAGCAACCACGTGACAGCCAACTTGTATTTCACCCATTGGGGGCCAGCCGAGGGATGCCGACTTCAGCTGCGTTTCAAGGAAATTTTCCAAATGAAGTCCTGTTAACGCCTTGCAATGAAGCTCTTACTGCGAAACTAAAGGCCATAGCAGTGTACCATTCTAACGTTCGGTACTAATGTTGACGACGCCCGGGGAGGGTCATCATCTCACAACAACGAATAACCCCCCCCTCTGGTACCTGCTTAGGGGGGAAAGACTCACTGTCAGAAACGCTTGGTTGTACATGTTAGTGAGATGGCATAGAGGAGCAAAACTGCGAAAATCGAGGTTGTAGTATGGGGAGGTGTACTGTCAGCCTTCCCCTTCAGGAATGTCCCCCCCCTGAGATGCTCTCCAATCCACTGGCAAATGCTCCCCCCCGACGGTCAAACCTAACACAGAACAAGGGAAAATTGACCTAAATCTCCCGAATATGAGGAAGATTCTGCCGGAGAAAACATTGCACTCGAGTCGTCCCGGTGGTAA